GTGTCAACTGGGCTCTTACCCTGTTAGCCGTGACCTTAGTGAACTCACCACCTCACTGAGGTATGGTTTCCCACTGGCAAAATGGAAGACAGTAATGGCGCCCCCAAGACTTGGGAGTACGGTACGGGAGTGGATGAGATGCGTCTGACCGTGCTCAGCATTGTGAGAGAGACGAGTGTGTTTCTCAAAGAGTTTTCTTCCCTTGCTCCCAAAGATGAATCGCGTGCAGCTCCTGCCCATCATGGGAGCCCCTGTTTTGGAGGTGGGTGCAGCCACCCAGGAGCTCTGAGAAAGTCACCTGCCTGTCACAGAGACATAAACGGAGCCTTGCTGGGTGAGGAAGGTCAGATTCGTTATAGGCATATAAAACTCTGTCATAGTCTTAGTTAAAATAGAAGAGAGGACTGAAGAATGGGGAAAAAAAAGGACCTTGGCCTGGACCCAGTCTCCTCTGTCCGCTGCTCGGGATGGGCACTGACTCTCCGACTCACTGCTGAGCAAGGTGCTGCTTCGGCTGGTGGGTTTAAACTCCAGCGCCCAGAAGGAAACACGGACGGAACAGACTGGGTTCACACAGACAAGGGGGCAGAAACAGGCCACAGCGCCAGGGCATTTTGGGCTTCCTATCCATTTGGAGATTTTCTTTCCTTTTTCTTCTCTCAATGAGAAAACAAAGCTCCTGAGACACCCAGTGACTCATCCCAGGTCCCCCAATCTACCCTTGGTGGAGCCCAGATGACAACCATGTCACCTCACACCCTGACTGGAAATCTTTCTGCTCTTTATCTGTAGCCTGAGGAGACAGGAGACAAATAACAGAAAGAGAGGAAGACAGGAAGAAAAAAGAAAGAATGGGAAAAAAAAAAAGAAGGAAGGAAGGATCATTATTGCAAATGCAATAAATTGTAAATTCTTCTGATGCCTGCAAAGTCCCAATAGTTCCTTGAATTTCTCAGCTAATCAAGGCTGCATGGGTATTGTTAGTCAGAAGGACAGAGATCCTTCTAAAACTGCTTTTCCCCTTCATTTCATCCCACCACCTCTGAGAGCATCTGACAGAAAGTGGTTTGGATGCTGGGCCGCACAATTAGCTCCTAATTTTTCAGGCTTCTTCCTGCGAGCCCCACTGTCTCATAATCATGGCTCTCCACTGTGACCAGGAGGCTGGGACAAAGGCTTTCTGATTCAACAGGAACTGTGATTGAGGTGAGATCGATACAGAGACATCACGATTCCCTCAATCAGACCCCCAACCAATTTTTCAGCTAGAAGTACAAGCTTGCGCACATATCACTAGGGTTTTATTATTAGTCACATGTGCTTAGGGCTACCCCCAATGCCATGACATGACTGTACTTGGCAAAACAAATGTGATACTTAACGGGGTCAGAAGACTTAGCCTGGGTGGCCAGGCTGCTACATTCCATGCGCACATATGACCTGCCTCTTGAGGTAAGGTGAAGTGACAGGAAGAAGAGACAGTAGGGACTCAAAGGCAGAAAGGCTCAAATCATTTCGGACATAGAGACCCTCTACCCAGCCTTGGGATTTTTTATTTTTTTGGATTTGTTTTTTGTTTGTTTTGTGTATTTTGTGTGTGTGTGGATAAGCTTCTCCCTTCTTCCTGTGACCTCTTTGTCCTTTCTAGAACCACAGGTACATCTCCTTTGTCCAGGATAAGAGCTGGGGGAGGGGCATCTGGGTGGCTCGATTGATTGAGCATCCCAGTCTTGATCTCAGCTCAGGTCCTGATCTCAGGGTCCTGAGTTCAAGCCCTGGTTGGGCTCCAGGCTCTACCTGCAGCCCACTTAAAAAAAAAAAAAAAGAAAGAAAGAAAGAAAAGAAAAGAAAAAAGAAAAAATAAATAAATAAATAAATAAATAAAAGAGGTGGAGGAGAACAGGAATTTGTCTTAAAGTCCTCCTCCCCTCCCCAGTCCCCCAGCCCAGAGACTGTGGGGAAAAGGTGGTTTTGCTCCAGCATTTTCAGTGATTCTCGGATGACATTGCCCCGGGAATGCACATGCCTATAAAAATTCCATTTGCGGAGTTAATGTGAACAGGTACCTTTTTTCCTTTATCCAAGAAAAGTAGCACATCCACGGACCAAGATCAAAGGGTGAATCCCAGTCGGCGCAACACAGGGCTCTGCTTAACAGTTTAGCATCCTTGCGTAATTAATCCGAAATGTTTCTATTTGTGGCAGAAGAGAGAGCGGGCAGGAAAAGGGAGACTGAGGGACTGGGAGGGAGATTGGCGGAGATTCTGAAAGTACGCTGTCCGGATTTTTATGAGTTTCTTCCTCTATACCTCTGGGTTTCTGACCCTTAAGAGGAAACTAACTCCCAACAGTCTGCTAAGCCAACGCGGCCTTGGAATTCCAAATTGAACACAGTTTGGTTCAGGTTTTTCAACGGCGGCAAAACCCAGCCGTCCACGGGGAGGAAAGCCAGAGGGGGCCAATTAGGAAGGAAGAAATTAAAGAGAAAAGGAAAGAGGAGGCGCGCATGAAAGGTCCAGTGGAGAGTGAGTGACGAGGCAGGAGCCCCGCCGCCGGGGCGGGCAGGCGGCCGCGCGGGGGGACTGACAGGTGGGTGTCGCGGCCCGGCAGGGCGGCGAGCGGGCGAGAAGTCTCCAACTCCCCGCAGCGCCGGCCGCCGCAGCGACGCCTCGCGAGAGAGCGGGGGCC